GTCCTTGGATTTCTCTTTGTGGGGACGGTGCACACAATTCTCTCTCTTTCCCACGTGTATTTGTGCGCACACCTCACTACCCCCTCTCACACACACATCTTTTGCTGTGGTTGGATCCAGCCGAGATGGAAACCAGGTGCTGACTCCCTGAGGGCCTGAGGTTGTCATTCACTGCACCTGAGGGGACGATCCACACTGAGGCCGCAGGTCTTTCCCTCATACATCCCTGATGGACCTGCCATGAGGGCTAAATCAGACGCACAGTGTTGTGAGCAGCACCATGCTGTAGTAAGACTGGAATAAGCCTGGTCACATCCTCGCCAAGGGCGTGTGCCACCCCACTGGACAACGCGGCCTAGTTAGAGGCTTTATATGTGGCCCCCAGTGGGGAAATCTGTCAGACTTGAGAGAAAACTTCTCTGCAGAATGCGGTGTGGACATGTGGCTCTGTCCAGCGGTTCTTTGTGCAGTGGCACCAAGCAGGACCGACCCACTGTTCTAGAAGAGATGGTTTCAGGAGAACTTTTCAAGAATCCCTGAGATAGCAAACATGAAGAGCACTGCAGTTTGTAAACACGATTCAGGGACTGGACAAAAAACCTTGTAATTAAGTGGAAGTGCTCTAAAAAAAGTCCCTTGCTCACTGTCCTCTGATTAAAGAGCGCATGTGATCTCAAGGTGAAGCAGACAGAAAATCCAGAGTGCCTGGACAGTATTAAATTATGAAGAGGTACCATGCACGCCCTATTAAGATCCCTTAAGTTTGTACCTTTACCTTAAAGGGGTGCATCAGGGACAGAAGCCTGGCTCTGTGCATATTCGCTTTCAACTTTTCTCCTCCAGACTGAGTCTTTCTTCACCTCCTTGTCAACACTTTCTTCTTTACCCGTTCTCTGCACCTGCTCTGTCCGGCATTCCCTGGCTTAATCCAGGGGAGGGGCATCCTCCCTGTCTCCCCTTCCAATGACACAAGTATAAGCCTGGCCCATGTCTCCTGCGTAAAGAAATCTTTCACCCACCCATGTCCTTCTGCTGCTCTTGCTGTTCTGAGTCCCTCAGAGCAGTGCCTGGAACCCAGCAGAGGTGCAGTAAATATTTGCTGAACAGATGACGGAATCCTCTTTTCCCTGTTCAGAAGTTCATCTTTGCTGCATGCGCCAGTTCTTACTTGCTGTGCCACCTTTGTAGCCTGTCTCCCTAAAATGACTCTCTGAGGTCAGAGATGCCTGAGATCTTCTCAGTCTTTATCATCCTTTCCCCAATCTCAGCAGTGCTCAACGTGGTCTGCTGCTGTTTTTCCTCTTGGCCGCGTGGCAGTGCATTCTCCTGTCTCCTACATTATTTAGTTATTTTGGGAATAAGAATCTTCTGCCTGGGCCGGCCCGGTGGCGCACTGCTACAGTGCGCCGCTTGGGAGCGCGGCGGGGGG